TTCTTTCTCCAAATGTCACGTGTGCACCCGTTGGATCATAAGGAATGCGGACGTTCGACGGGTTAAGCATTTTCGGTGCTCAGTTCCACTCACACTTTGTAATAATTCTTAGTTTCCATAGTCTTAACTGTCTGTTTCATAGGTAAATGAGAGCTACCTATACCCATTCTGTAGGCAATCAAAAGAACATGAACTAGAAGTCTAGAATGTTAGGGTGCCTAGTCTAGAAAAGACTATTTTATTTTTATTACTATGTCAATTAACCCATTCACTGATATAACGACTTAGAGAGACAGCAATCGTTAAATTAAGCATTCTCGTATCGTATCGATTCAAATGGAAGTTTGTAATCGATTTGAAAAATATCGATTGAGAGTGAGACTATCCGGTCTTATACAGTATATGTCACTTGGTCATTGTTCCGTGAGATAAACAAGGATAGAGATCGAAGTCATAAGATATGTGCTTATTTAAATAAATTTGGTTAAAACCATTAGGTATTTACTTACTTATTCGAAGTTTTTAACCTGAAGTTCAAACAACAAAACTAATTCCGTATAATGGCTGCAATACCTACAGTGTTTCGGAAATGTAATAAAAATCGACCTCATTCTTAAAAAAAATATACTTTAATCGACAAATTAAATTAACTTAGGTATTAAACTATAGTGATTTGGAGTTGAGTTGGGTTAAATGTACTATTTGTAGTTAGGTGAACCGTACTTCGACATAAATGGGTCAACTCCGACTGTACTGTTTTCCACCACAAACATTGCTTATATCATCAGAAGATCCGCTAGTTCGTTTACGACCCTATCGCATAAAAACAATCATCATAAAATCAGTCAATTCATTCAAAAATCGCTACTACCTATAACACATACCACAAACCAGTCGACTGGTCGTCTGGCTCACGAGGCCTTGTCGCCGTTAACCCACAAACCCAGACAGTGGACGATTCCAACTGTCCTCCCCACACATCTCATAAACCTGTCTATTCTGTACAGTTTGTAGTGTCCACAGGAATTTCTGTAGTCATAAAGTCTAGCTCATATCCACCATGAGTAGTGGATATGAGTTTGTTTGTCTACTTCAAGAACTAATACTGAAATTTTGTATTACCTACATGATTATAAATTGATAACACACACACACACACACACTTTACTTTCTTATTAAACTGTCAAACACCGCGCGATCACCGGTGACCGCAACCTATTGTTATTTAATTGTGTCTATAATGACGGTACTCAACGAGGTAATGTTATAACAGTGTGGTAGCTTCTGTAGGAATATTTATCGAAATAAATGTAGTAATAGATAATATAAATGTACTATAAAGGTACTAGATGACTATGGAGCGGTGAAGGACTTAACGCGTTGCCGGGGCTCCGGTTCAAAGTGCAGAAGTAGGAACGGGGTGGTTTTTAGTCAGTAAGAGTCTGACACTCCCTCTCGGCTCAGCCAAGGCGGGAGAAGTCATTGGATGCTATGCCCTTTAAAAAAAAAAGTTGCCAGATGATCAGTAGTAGTCCATAGCTTTCGATAGGTTATAGAATTTAAAACTAAATTAATTATAATAGCCGTGTTTTTATCGTAAGACATACCCTCAAGAGCTGCGCGACATCGCTGTGGTTCGAAACTAGTAGAGCTTTTCTCAGTACATTCACGTGAGTAACCCGCGATTTTAGTTAACATAATAACCGTCTTCAATTCTCTTAATTACGAAGGCACCCTAAGCATTATAGCGCATATACCTTACTTGTCTTTCACAAATTTTCCTTGTATTATCTTGTGAGTTAACGTCAAATATTCCTTGTCAAACAGGGGACTTGTTTGTGTTGCACATACCTGGGCTCTGAGAACGCTTGAATAACTGGCACTGTTGTCTTATAACTGCAGTGTGGTCCGTTAAATTACTACATAAATAAACTCCTATTATTTATAAATAGTAGATTATAGTTACATGCCGCCTTTTATATCCCAGATGGGTTAAAGACCTAAAGCTTTTTAGTAGAGGCATGTAAATGCACAAGGCGAATACCTAGTTTTTGCCACTAATTTCCACGTAAGAGGTACCTATTGCAGTAACTTTGCTGCACTGATTGAAACTTTTTTATTTTTATTCTCCTTTATTGTTTTTAAGGGGTTTTGTCCATATGGATACGACAACCCCATCGTATCTTATCTAATTATATATATAATATACTCTATGTGAATGAAAGAGAATCATTAATAAGGTCTAGATATCAGAAAAGTTATGTCACCCTCACCAGTTCACACAACACTTTTGCAATCTTCGTTTTAGGATTTGCTAAAATGTTTTGAACTAGCCCAACATCTAATTTATTCAACTTATATTTGTGAATACAACAATTTTCTCAAACATTTCACTAATTGCATATACTATTGCTTGATATATTGCAATAAGTACCAAAGCCATTAATACAAACTGTATTACCTATTTTGAAAATAGCTTCATGCCCTGTATTTTGGCACAAATATTTACGCTCCACAACCATGTACGCTCTTTAAACCATCTGTAAAAATTTTACACAGTTCAATTCTGATACGACTTGATTGAAACTTCACTACCACAATTAGTAACCTCCAGGTCATACATTTCATCAGATAAAAACAATATTCAGCTACACCCAAACACAAAACAGCAAAGACTATTATAAAATTCAACATCTGCATTTTCCGTACTTAACATAATACACGTTCGTATACGTCGAACCACTTCAAAGAAAACGTTAAGCAAACAGTTTTGTATGCAGCAATGCCAAGGCAAGTGCTCCAAGTTTTTGTCCGGGACATTCCTTCGACAGTACGTAGTGTCGACTGGCTATAGAGTCCACTGTCCATACTGTTCAACATCGATGGTCGTAAGGCACGCGTTTTTACTTGACCATTCTCGTCATTCCGGCTGATTGATTCGTTGGCACGTTATACAAGACTTATTCATGTAGATTTTCGTTAATTACTTCATCGTAATGTGAGTAATTTGGGTTTAGGTTTAGGAACTATATTTTTTTTGTAATGAGACTACTTTGTTTTCATGGTTCTGCCCTTGAACCTAACGGGTTACCGGGGCTCCGGCTCGACGTGAAGGAGAAGGAACGGGGTGGTTTTTAGTCAGTAAGAGTCTGACACTCCCTTCCGCCTCACCCAGGCGGGAGCAGTCATTCGATGATTTTCCACCCTTAAAAAAAATCCTACTTCATTTGGGGTCTGTACAATGTTTTCTATACATTATCCCCTATTAAATATCTTGTAGGCATGCCAAAAATTATTATTAAAGCACTTCTCAATAAGCTTTACCTTTGTAAACAAATATAATTATCATCGTTATAATATCATATGTAACAAAAATTATCCATGAAGATACAATTACACTATAAATATTCAATAACTACTATAAAAGATTACACAACAAATGTAATTCCATGGCGACGCGACAGCTACACGACTTTAATAACACTGGCCCAATTTTACCCAAAGCTCTGATTAATGCCGTCACGAAATCCATATATCGTTCCCGTTACATAAAAGTCACGTTCACACATCGATATTGTACAAAGTTATATTTAAAACTTTGTAGAAAAGTATCTTATTTGCCAAATGCATCTAATAATAGGGTAGTTTCCTAAATTTTATTTTAATGTCCGTCTGGTACATTCATTTAAAATTTTAGACGCGTATTTTTTCTTTTCTCACAAAATTAAATACTTTCGACGATATATTAATTTGAAATATCGTGTGACGTCACAGCGTGTCACATTTTATTGCACGTTATGACGTAACTCCCACTCCTAAACTTATCTTTATCTAAGTATTGCAACTTAATACGAGAAAATAAAAAAATACGTGTCTAATATTTTTTCATTATCTAACTGACGGACTAGTTAGATTTTTAATTTTGATAACCTGGACACTACCCAATTACATGCACTTTTTGTCAGATGTGACTTGTGAGTTTGTGAGGCACTATTCTCATTATTATACACACCGACATCGCCTTGCATTTACTACCTACTTAATACTTTTCTTGATTCAGAAACTGAGCATAAGTAATCTTTTATGCTCGACATCCCTCTTGCACCTACGTCCAATAAAGTAGAATAAGATTAAACTATTACAAAAGTTTCGACTTATTTTAAAATCGCTCGCTCAAAGTGAATTTATTTTCTCCGTACGTCATGTTAACGGTAACACATGTGACACATCGATGCACCGAATAAGTACGCCAAGTATGACCTTTTCGTCATGACATTTCGATGCGTTGTTGCGTATAAAATGTCAAATCCGTGCAGAGATAACTGCGCACGGACTTAGCTAACGAACGCATTAAAAAACAATTTATATGGATCCTTGATATAAGAAAGTAAATTGTTTTAACAATTGGTGCTTAAGAAAATGTCAATTCGGAGTTTGTTATGGGATTTTTAAATCCGAATTTAAATGGAGATAATCATGTAATAGTAACATAACATAACATCACGCCTTCTATCCCCGAAGGTGTAGACAGTGGTGCACATTACCGCACTTAATGCCACTGTACAATGTAACACCCATTTTTCACTATTCATGTTATGAGTCCCATGTAAAAGGGGGTGAGCCTATTGCCATATACCGGGCACGATAGTATAATAGTATTGATTGGAAAGTGTATTTTTTTACTGTATTGACTGATATATCCGTCTGTGGCTGTTTTATCTAATGCTATTATAATAGGAAAGATATACAGCAACTACACTATTTTGAAAACAATCCAAGTTTCAGAACCGCAAGTCCTAAAAACAAAATGCAGACCAAAATTTTATGACTACTTAAGCCATTTTCAGAATTAAATCTGTTATTTAAGTTATTTACCTTTGAGTACCGTCATTATAGACACAATTAAAGAACAATAGGTTGCGGTCACCGGTGTCCTCGTGGTGTTTGACAGTTTAAGGAATGTCTAATATTAAAAAAAAACTTGTTTTAACTCTTTCCAGGGCAAGTCAGTGATCCGTCCGATAGCGTTCAAGCCGCTGGGAGGACGCCTGTCGGCTGGAGGTGAGAGATATGGCTCCACACCTGTTCTGGCCAGCAGACCACCTTCACACTTAACGCTTTATGGCAGTGAGTATAACAGATTTAATAAAACATACGGAGACGCGCTCCTCATACCCAATATCTAAATCCCAAAAAGATCTATCATTCATAACCTCTAACTCCCCTGGGCCTTTAGGCAAACGCCACTTTAGCGCTTGTCTACAGAGAGAGTAGAAATCAAAATGTATGGGGATGATACTGATTGTCAAAATTTTCGTCAATTCCATATAATTTGTTTTGCTATTCTACATGTAGACAAGCGCTAAAGGGCATTTGGCTACAGCTGCTGGTGTTGTATGGGTGTCCATGGGTGCCACCGATTGCTTACTATCAGGTAATTCAGGTGCTCGTCTTATTCCATTAAATAATTCTTTTACAAACTACGTTTAAAAAACACCAACTTCAAACCCCTCTCTCTCTTTTTAGAAGTCAGTTAATTAGTATAGTAAAACCTAATTCTGAATGTATCAAACGCTTTTCTCACCACATGAAAATCGGTTCAGCCAATCGCGATGTAATCTTGCACAAACATACATACATACAAGTCTAACTAATAACCTCCTTTTTTGAAGTTGTTTAAAAATCGTCGCTCTTAAGCAATCACGACGCGATTTTCTCCCTAACACCTAACGTATCAATGACATTTTTCTTCGGGTCTTCGATTTGATTAAGAATATCATTATTTAGTTTGACCTTTACACTTTCATGGCCATTTTCTTTAGACTTTAGATCAGTTCAGGGTATTAACGTGCCACCTCTTATTGGCAGGCTCATCGGATGTGCGGGAAGGTCGATGGTGCGGCTCACCGCAACCTGCCTCCCTGTCAGCTCTTCCACCGGCCACTCCATCAGCACCTATCCATCAGAGGCATCATTCGGCTATTGTGTAAGTAACACCTTATTATCAATAGAGACGTAAAGACAAAATAGATAATAGAACGAGCTGTCGATTTCTTAAACAAACGTCTGGAGTGCAAGCGCGAATAACTATCGCATTTGTATCGTAACAGTATCGAGCGCGTTCAGCGTTCTGATTGGTTGATTCACTGGAGCCGGCCAATCCGAGCGTCGAACGCGCTCGATACTATTAAGTTACGAATGCGATAGTTATTCGTGCTAGGCACTCTGATCATTAAGTTCATCTGAACTCGTAAATAAATTAAATTGAAAGAACTACGTCTACAATCTGCGACAGTCATAAAAGAATTGATGTAACAAGCTGTCTTACGGTTTCCTAGGATTGAAAATCATCGACTAGTACCAAAAAATATCATATTATAATAGTTTAAAAAAGAAAATGGCATCCTTAATGTACACAATTATTTACATGATAGTCTTGCTATAGTCGTGGTAATTAAACAATTGATTACTGTTATTGCAACAATATTTGTGTTGTTTTAAAACAGTAAAATTTCATTTTGACATTGTTGACTTCCTTATCAATATTTTCTCATTATTCTTCAAGCATAAACGATCCTCATCCCAGTGATAGTGATGCGGACGAATACTTTGACGCCTAAATTAAGGGTATAATTTTGGTTGTTTTCTTCTTTTTACTTTCGTTTTATTTAATAGTTTAGTTGTAGTTAATTTTAAGTTGTAAATATTTATGTAGTTATATAAATTATGTTATATGTTATAAGCATAAACTGCTTTTGATATTCGTATATTGAGCAGAACAATCTAGATCTAGCTTAAAATTACAAAACATATTCAATTGAGCCTTTATATCGTGTTTCATTGTTATCCTAAACTAGACACCGGAACGCTGTGATGCAAGATCTATTAAATATCTACCTGTAGGTCACACACATACGTGTTTAGGTACAGATTGTCAGTATTTATGTTATCATTTTTAGTCAGTAAGAGTCTGACACTCCCTCGCGCCTCAATGTGCGACGTCGCGCAGCTCACAGTGAGCTGCGCGACGTCGCCGCGACCGCGCACGCTGCTCATGAGGAAGAACCCCTCTGTGGTTCGAAACTAGTAAAGCTTTTCTCAGTATATTTACGCGAGTAACCCGCGATTTTACTTAATCTTTGATCACTCTAACTGGCATTCAAATGCTATAACAGGTCATAAGGACAGCAGTTATTAAACCTAATTTAAGCCCTGGTTCCCAAACCTATCCTCTTAACCAGTCATGAACTCGAATAGTTGAGTTGCTTTCTAAGCCACCACGGCAATTGACGAGCGATGACACATGAACTGCATCTTGCATCTGTCTGTCTGTTCATTTAACTAAATAATTACTACTGTTACCATGTGTTGCGTGATGAGTATGTTACAGGGAAGTCGATAAAGATGGTGATTTGATATAATGTCTAGAGTGTTAGAAAAGAGACAGTAAAGTTAGAAGTATTTTGATTTTTTTATTATAAGTTACGAGGATTAGGTCTATTAGGTCAGGTCTATTACAATTTACTATAATTTTATTTATTGTTTATGTACATAAAAACAAAGTACATAGGTACCACATACTCCAACTGGAAGTTCTTCCTGTGGGCCCTGTGGCAGGAAAAGAAATAATGACATTCTCAAACAAACATTTTGTTTTATTTTGCTGGCCTTGAATATATAAAAGTACATTTCTAATTATCTCGTAACATGGTTGCTAGTTTGGTGGATATCCCTGTACTCCAGTGTGATATAACATGACACTAATTGCCTATTACCTACGCAATTCTAGTATAACTGGCTACCCCTTTCCTACCCCTGACTATCTCTAGCAAAAATAACCAAGAAAAGTACAGATAACAACGATGACTAAAACAGAAACAACTAATTACTTTTCCCTATCAAGTAAGAAGTCGTTTCACTAATTGGCATCCACGTAAAAGTGACTGCAACATGAACATTCACGCTGGTGAGTAGTGAATGACTTGGGGCCGTAAAATGCCACTGAGTCATACCGCCCAGCGGCCGTAGCCGTGTTCATTCACCAGAAAGCGCAACGTATAATTTGATAAACAGTAAATAAATGTTACGCGTCAAGGTTTTAAGAAAGTTTTCTAATTCATATGTATCGTGATGATGGAGTAAAATTGAGGAGGTTAAGTAAAGGTATTATTTTTTTTTAAAAGATTCATAGAGTGAAAACAGAATATGTTACCAGTTGACTCACAGTATCAATCGTTCTTAGACATGATTAGTGTCGCGGAGAACCTAACGGGGTACCGGCTCGAAGTGCGGGTGGTTTTTAGTCAGTAAGAGTCTGACACTCCCTCACGCCTCACCCAGGTGGGAGCAGTCATTCGATGATTTTTCCACCAAAAAAGACATAGTTAGTGTTTTAGGCAGCATAATCAAAACAAATAAAAATGGTACACAAAACAGCAAATTAGATGCTCATAAAGTATTGATTTGATTATGTTTCTAAAACTCATTAACACTCACTGACTCATATCATGCATTGTATACATCCCTGCCTAATTAAACGCTGTTACTATGCACGATAATTGTTTACAAACATTCTAAACCAATCAACAACAGTTTTTATAAAACTTTTTCCTTAAATATTCAGTAGAACTGACAGGCATTTAAACAGCATACATATGCATTTACAATCTCGATAAAAATGCATTACTGTGCGACGCAAAAAGACATGATTATGCAGCGGTATTTACGCTGTTTACTCAGCAATATTGAGCAGCAGTTTAGCGGCTCTGCGCACGCGTCGCGGACATTCGTGCGTCGCACCGAGTAGCGACTAGCCGGCGCAAGAGTGTTTATTTATCAAATAGTGATTTTATACGTGTGAGTGAATAAAATGGATAAGTGTATCGGAAAGTGAGAGTTGTGTTATTATGTTTAGGTGAGTTACAGTGATAGTATAATTTTTGATGAAATATATCGATTTCGGATTGTATTTACTGGGTTTTAAAGTTAATAAACAGTGTCTATTAGTCGTTAGATTATGTAGGAAAATCTAGAAAGTTTAAAACAAATATTTGTAAAATAAGATATATTTTGTAAAACTAATATTTACGTAGAAGTTACCATCATCTATCAATGATGTCAGTGCCTAAGTACTTATAAGGCTATTATAATATCTTGTAACAGTTACCTATTAGATTTTCAAAAAGTAGGTACACCTCAGTACGACGTCCAGGTGAAAATATTTTAACTTGTAAATAGTTCAAATGGGCCAGTGTAATATTTCTTTATAGCTCTCAACCTACTCCAAATTCTTACTGAATACTTTTTATATAAAACCGAAATTCTGTTGAACACTCAGTCGGTCAGCTCATGAAACCTAGCCTAGCTTAGTATCTAAGTAGGTTGGCAATAAAAACTAGTTCTAATGTTTCTGCTGTACCTCCCGTTTTTTACATTCATAGTCACGGTACACTGTTCTGAATGACTGAGACAAAAAGTGTACTTTAACAAAAAAAAATAGAGTAGCAACGGCTAATATGTTGCGTTGAATTGTTCGTGTAAAGTACTTTTTGTTGAATTAATGTACCAATGCAGAAACACATATAAAGTGTGTAGTGTTCATTTTTGACTGCCTGCCTCGTTGGCCGAGTGGTCGCAAGTGCGACTGCTGGCAAGGGGCCGAGCAAAATAATACTGGGTTTTTAAAAAATTCTCAGAAGTAGCACGGAGTCTGGAATTGTGCCCGGTATATGGCAATAGGCTCACTCCCTATTACATGGGAGTCATAACATAAATAGTGAAAAGTGGGTGTTACATTGTACAGTGACCGGCCCGCCCTCTTCGGGGATAAAAGGCGTGATGTTATGTTATGTTAGTTTTTAAAATAAGGAGTCTCATATAATATAGGGCTTATGATAACACAATTTCAGTATCCGCAATTCCATAGTACCGAAAAATGTTACTTATACAAGACAGGATACTTATAGGTACAAGTCACATTAGGACTGATGCCGATACGGAGCCGCGGAGAACTTAACGGGTTACCGGGGCTCCGGCTCGAAGTGCAGGAGTAAGGACGGGGTGGTTTTTAGTCAGTAAGAGTCTGACACTCCCTCCCGCCTCACCCAGGCGGGAGAAAACATTCGATAATTTTCGCCCTTAAAAAAAAATACAAGCCAGGAATCTAACTTGAGACCTCTTTGATGCACAGGACTACAAGGCAGCCTATATTCAAAACGATATCATCTTGTCAAATCACAATTTGTCTAACGATACACAAAATTCATGTATGTAGCTTACCTTAGGCTTTTTACTAATAGCTAAATGCCTAGTTGATCTAGTCTAGTACTTAAATGTAAGTCTAGACTAGGAGGAAAGGAAGTCAGGCTTTCCATTTCGAAATTGTCAGTTAGATTTGTGTCCGGTGTATGTAGAAGTAACATTTACATTAAAGTATCTATTAAAAAAAGATATTGGAAATGAATTTAATAGGTACTCTTAGACACCGTTAATTATCTGAGGATGCTAGTTCGAAACCTACCAACGTCAAGTACCAATGTAAACCCTTTTTCCGAGTTATATGTACTTTCGAAGATTATTTAGACATCACTGTTAAACAGTGAAGGAAATCGTCGTGAGGAAACCTGGGCTTATAATTTCTAATTCTAAGTTTGTAATCGCCAACCCGCATTGAGCAAGCGTAGTAATAAATGCTCAAACCTTCTTCGTGTGAGAAGAGGCTTTGCTCAGCAGTGGGCATTTATAGGCTGTTGATGATGATGATGATGACTTGTATTGTAACTTTCGTGAGACATACTAAATAAATTATTATGTTTTCGGCTTACACACGTAATAATTTGACGAGGAACTCGACTAGTTTCAAGCCATGCTAGAGGCTCATATTCATGAGCAGCATTTCGCGACCCACGACGCGGCGACTGTCGCCGAGTTCCTCGTCAAATTATTACGTGAGTAAGCCGAAAACATAATAATTTATGATGATGACTT